CAATTTTGGTGGTGGTTCACATGAGGAAGAAAGACAAAATTTTAAAAATAATTTTTTAATATACAAGCATGAATATCTAGGCAATTTATTTACAAATTTATATAAACGAGTATTTTCTCAAAAAAACCTCTAAAAATGAACACTTCATTAAGTTCAACACCTTGCATCACTTGTCAAGCGGAGAGTTTTTGTTTTTATTTTGATAGGAGTGTTAAATGAAGGTTGTCCTTGCAAAAAAAAAAAAAAAAAAAAAAAAATCCACAATTATGAGTTATGACACTTCATTCATACATGTAAATATTATATGAATCGTTGACAAGTCTGTACTTTTTAATCATGATATGTTCTCCTTTGAAAAGTTCATTTAAAATTAATAACATCAAATTACTTGGACAATTTTTCATGTTGTTATACCTTAGATTTTTGTGCAAATTATAATTCAACGTGACTTGATTAATTAAGAATTATACCTTTTACAATATATATTTAACAACCAATTCAAGTGCAAATAACAAAGTCGTGCCTTAATGGCCTACAATTATTTGCATAGCATATTCTTCCATGTTCATTTGTATTACAGAGTAGAATTTTATGCTCCATGTCCATAGGATTTATCTTCTAGCTTTTCTCTCAATTTCAGAATGTTTCTAGGTCACGAAGGTTTGCATCACCCTAAGGCATAATAACCATGAATCTAATTTAGAGAATAAGAGGTTTTAGCTTTTATGATAACACAATTAAAACCTTTTCCCTTTTTTTATATTGTAATAATGTTACCTAATTAAATTAGTATTTCAATGGGAAAGTTTGCATCTTGATCAAATTCCACTAAAGACTCTTTAGGGTGGGGATTCCCTCACACTCCCCCCCCCCCCCCCCAATTTGTAAAAGGTCTAGCCCCGCTAATTCGAGCAGGCCGGGTAGACCCTTAAGAGAATAAGAGGTTCCGACTCGCAGACTCGGTAGGCTTCTCCTTATCAACCACAAATAAAAGAATTTTTTTTTTTCTTCCTTTGTAACACAATTGTTAGGTTGGATTTGACTATATAAAAAAAGACATACAATGTTCTCATCCTCTAGTTTTGATGGTTTGTTCTTATGTAAATCAATGCTTGGCCTATAGTATTTCTATGATTAAATTTAAGACAAAATGAAATAAACAATGTTTTGATATTCATAAATTATTTCACATCATTAGAGTGACATATACTTGTATTTTTTTTAAATCAAGTAATTTGTCTAGATTGTTTTTTTTTTTAAAAAGTAATTTGTCTAGATCCCTACTCCTATTTTTTTTTTTTTGGAAGATGCTCCCTACTCCTTACGTGGGTTAGGAACTACCTAAGAACAACCCTACTAGAGAAAGAAAACTACTCGGACTTCAAGTTGTCATACTCTAACTGCATGTAGTAAGTTGATTTATGTCTTACTCTAATTTTATTCAAGTATTTTTAGGTTTTTCGATGGGCCATTATTGTGGTTCCAATTTGTGTAATCTAGTGAGGTTAGGTAGGCAATTAGGCCATAATGGGACGTGAAATGATGAAAAGATTAGTTTACATGACCTCTTCATCAGTATTTTATCATCTTATGGTATGTTATATGTGACTTTTCAAAATTAATAATAATAATAAACAATGATTTTTTTAAAAAAAAAAAAAATTGACAATTACTAAGTTCTAACCCCTTTGATTTTTATTAGTGCAACAAATTGAATGAAATGTTTCCCAATATGCAATGTTGACTGTTAATATCTTTAAATTTATATTGGTATAAATTATAAAATGTTAACATTACGCTAATATACTTTAGAACTAACCCAATGACATATTACATGATAACATTTATTATTCGTATATTAATAAAAACATCAAGGCAAAACCGCTAACTGTAATATAGAGTGCAAACTGTCAAATATTGCTCTTAAAAAAAAGAGTATATTCCTCTAATATTGCAACTATTAGCATTTAAAAATTTTCACAATATTGCAACATTTTTCATATTTGCCCATGATCTCTTTCTTCCTCTCTTCTCATACATTATCACATAGTCTTATTATCTCTTTCCTTCTTTTTCCTCATCTTGAAATCTGTGTAATATTGCAATTAGGGATATGGTGGAAGTACTTTGTTAATATATTCCGTTTAGTGTACATAGATTTACAAGCACTAGTTATACCAATATACGAGCTCAAATAAAATTACTTGTATATTTTTTTTATTTGTTGGATTACCTTAAATATTTTTTAAGGGTTTGTATATTTATATCAAAGTATTATATTTCCATTTCAAGAATAATTTTTTACATATACGAGTTAGATACCCGTTAAAAAAAAAAAAGATACAAGTTTAATTCAATAAAAATAAGTTTAGATTTACATAAATAAACTTTATATGTCCCTCTACCCTACTAATGCTAATATTCAATATCTTTCATTATAAAGTCAGAAAAAGGTCGTATTCACTTTTGGCCGGTATACCATGGGAAAAGCCTTCAAAAAAAAAAAAAAATATAGTATGGGAAAAACTTCAATACTCATTATATCATCCATCAAAATGTTACCGTATTACGGTATACACATTTTTTAATGTTTAGAGAGTCAAAATGGGCGGGGGTGAGAATCGATCCCAAGATCTCCTCGAATCGGGAGAGAAGCTCTAACCACTTGATCTATCTCATATACATAACAAAGATAGCCAATAGGTAGATATATGAGTGATGTGACAAGATCTAAATCAATAAATATAGACATCACGATCATATAAATCATTCATACATAAAATGATACAAACATCTTTTGAAAATCCTCTCATATAGGAAATTAAAACGAGAATTTCCGAATAAAATACCGAACAAAAAAAAGGTATGTGGATGATGCAAAATCTTCTATACTTCTATTATAAGAAGTTTGTTACTATATCTCAGGGAAAAGTTTGGCTTTAGGGAATGATGAATATAGTGCTAAAGAATAAGAATTGTTACGTAATAATATAAAATAGATATTATTAAAAAGTATTTTTTTTTGGTTATCCCCTTCCATCTCACATTAAATTTAGATATTAAAATTAATCTTATGGTATATGACAATGTTTATTGTACTTTTATATTTTATGTGTTTTTTTTTTTTTTTACTTTTAATGATTTTGTTTTGTACTGTTTTTAATAAACAAATAATGAAATATTATTGTAAAATTGTGCATATCACAGGTTTTAAACTAGTTCCCTCGTTAAACTACTTCGCTCGTCATTGGGAGTAAAAAAAATTGCAAAGCAAAGACTAAAAAAAAAAGATGGCCAAGAGCTAGCACTGTCAAAAATCGAACCGAACTGTTTCAACCGATCCGAAAGAGAACCGAACCGATTAAAAACCGATTTTATAAAACCGAAAACCGACCCAAACCGCATGTTAGTAAAACCGAAACCGAACCGATTCGAGTAACGTTAAACTGTTTAAGAACCGAACCAAATCTAAACCGAACTGAAAGGAAACCGAACCGAAAATGAACCGAATCGTTTCTAACCCGAAACCGTTTGAACTGACATAAAAACCGTTTACACCGAACCGTTTACAAACCGCAACCCGTTTGCACCGAACCGTTTATAAACCGAACCGTTTATGAACCGAACCACTTATAAATCGAACCGTTTACAAACCGCTTATAAATTAATTACATTTCTCGAATCCCGATAAAACGATATATACCTTCATAATACAGCTTTTATATTTTTTTTAACACACACATTAACTTATTAAGTTATTTAAATTATAAAATGTGAATCGGTTAGCGTGTAAATGTCTAGCGTCGCGATTAATAAAAAAATCGAATACTGTATAATAATATAATGACGTCATATATTAGAGAGTTAGAAGTACTACGGATTTGTTATATGATTATATCTATATCAGTTTAGCTATGTCTGTAAGCAATACACTTGTAATCGTGTAAACTTATAAATGATAGAATTGACTAGTAGATTAGTACATAAATACAAATTACTTAATTAGATATGACTACATGAGTGATTGACTAATATGACTATATAAGCAATTGTCAATTTAGCATAATTGCATAACAGATTAATTAACAGTGTACTAGACCATCCTACTCGGTAATATACTAATAGCATTTCAGTATTTGATCTATTAGACTCAAGTTAAAAGTTACTCTTTCTTATTAACTTGTTAGTCTAATTAAGTAATTAGTAATTATTAATTAATGACTTAAGCCTCGGGGGTAAACCAATAAAGGATATACAAAAATATAATAATCTTATGATTCTCATCCCTTTATACTAATAAATATTTAACTATGAGAATATGAGATGGTTAGATGTTATGTATATGTATAATCAATTGAAAGAAGAATCAATATTACCTTCTTATTCATTAATGTTTTCTTTCATTATACAAATCAAACTACTTTGTAATATCTTCATATATAACTTTATGCAAATATATAATGATAAACGAGTCTTGATTAACAGTCTTGTTGACTAATTAAGAACCGAACCCGTTAACGAACCGAACCAGTTATATGAAACAAAAGAACCGAACCATTTCTAACCTGAAACTGTTTGAACCGGAATAAAAACCGTTTACTCCGAATCGTTAACAAACCGCAACTCGTCTGCACCGAACCGTTTACTACCTGAACCATTTACAACCCGAACCGAATTTAAACCGGGATAAAAACCGTTTACACCGAACCGTTAACAAACCGCAACCCGTCTGCACTGAACCGTTTACTACCTGAACCGTTTACAACCCGAACCGAATTTAAACCGTGGTTCGAATAAACCGAAACCGAATCGAACCGATAATTATTTAAACCGAACTGAAACCGACCCGTAAGACTTTTGAACCGATTTCAAACCGACCCGATTTCAAACCAACCCGATTTCAAACCGAACCGAAACCGAACTGTCAAACCGTTTTTACAGTACTACCAATAGCGCATCAGCACATGTAGTCATGTGGAGATGCCCTTCCTCCTTCCCATCCCCGCCAATGTGAACAGTGCAGAAGCTGAAACTAAAAATTCATTTCTGATTAATTATTTTTAATTATATAAGCTGTCCAAATAAATGTGCTGATTTTTACTGACCCCATTCATTCCAAATCTATACTTTCTTCTTTTTATTTCTTTCATCATTTGCTGCTCATAAACCCAGTAAAAAAATAAAAATAAAATAAAATAAAAAAAAACAGCTTTAAACCCCACATTTTGATCAGTCATTTCTGGGTGAATTTTTCTAATTTAGACTTCTGGGCACAATTTTCAACCAAAATACTGAATTGGGTTTTGTTTTAATTGAGTTTTAATCGAAATTTATACTTTAAATTGATAATTTAAATTTTGATTGATGATGGGTTCAGCTTAGATTGTTGAATTTTGTTGTGATTTTTTTTTGCGGCGGAAGATGCGGGGGCGGCGGGCGGCCGATTTCCGGCGCCCTGTTCGAAGAAGAATTTCTAATTGGATCTGGGCACTTCTTGGATTGTTCTTTTTTGCTGGGATTATTTTGTTTGTTGTTCAACATAATCATCATCATGTTCATCAGCCGACAGTGGTAATTTACTCAATTTTTGAATCAAATTTAGTTATAATAGTATATATTTGAATTAAATGCTTATCATTTGAAGTTGGATGATGAATTTTTGATTGATTAGAGGTTTATCTAAGTGTTATTTTGTCAAATTATTTTGTGGGTCAAAGGTGATTTTATTGGCAGAATCTTGGTAGGTAAGATGTCATATAAGTAGTAACGGATTACTTTATACTCATTTCTTGCTTTTTGGTTGTTTTTGTTTAGTTGTAGTGTTAATCTATCAGTGGTTTTTACCAAGTTTGAGGAATTCGTTGGGGAATTTTCCTGATTTGTGTAAGATATCCAAGTTCATTAGATTCATATAATTATAGGTGCTCATTTGAGTGATGTCAATGTTTGAATTATAGTTTAGATGGATGAGAGTAGAACTCGAATAGATGAATTTTGACTATATTTTCATATCCTGAGGCCATTACTTGATATGTATGAGATCTCGAATCTTGTATGTCTACCATATTAACATTGAGGCACCACAGAGAGAAGTTCTTCTATCTCGCACAATAATGTGGATTCAATAGGTTATTGCCAATAACCATGCATGCTCAAAATTTGGTATCATAATGGGTGATGATCTCATGTGATTTATTTTGTTTACTTAGGGCATACTTGTATTATGCTTCTTCATAGTTCATAATGCTTTCCTGAGAGATGTCCTGTTTTGTGGTTACAAACTCTTATTTGCTAATGATTCCTTTTGTCACGTTCGAAGTCTTAGGACTTCGTGCTTTATAATATTTATCTTGAGCCGTATGTGCCACCATTTGAAATGAGTCCAGGTGGTGGACTAAAATTTAAATCATTTAGAAATAAAGTGATGTTCCTGTAGGCATTTGGCTGTATCCTGTAGATCAGTGTTTTTTGTCTTCAGGGGGGTGTGGAAGAGAAATATAGCCATTTAGGAATGTAAAGTTCAAGCTTTGTAAAGCCTTCATTGTCAAAAGAGAATGGTTAAGCATACAATGCGTATAGTGCAGGTGCTCCTGATAAAGTAAAGTAAAACATCTTAATGCTGATGGGCATGATATCAAAGTAAACTAGTCTTTTTATAGGGAATTGCCTATCGCTATTCTCTTAAGGTCATTGAAGCCCTACTGCTTTTAGTTATTTACTTAACTAGATCTCTTTCAGTTTAGTATTTTTTTGTAGGTTCGATCAAGAATTTGAAAGGTTTAGTGTATACTTCTTGTTCTTATACCCGCAGAGTCGTAGTCGTTCCAAACTCTAGCTCAGTTTATATGTAGCTTTATAACGTTACAACAATAAAACATTGCCAAAGCCTTAATCCCCGAAGGATTGGGAATTACTCTATAATAGTATAATGTCAAAATCTAATTTCAAAGTTCTAGGGGTTCAACTAGTAATAACAGCTTGATGAATGCCAAGTCTCCTTTCCTATTGAACTCACTATTTTAGCTGGAAACTGTTTTGTGTAACCTTGTATCTGAAAGTGATTTGTTCTTCCTCCATCACTCTCCTTCTAGCCTTGGTCATAATCAGTGCTAGTTATGCTCTTCTGTCTTCTGTCTTCTTTATCGTTTTCTTTTCCTTTTTTGTTCTTCCCTTAAATATTTGCTACTTATTGAACCAATTTTTGTACCATGTATAATATGTGTGGCAAAGGTATCACCTAACAGTCTCCGAGGATGTGAAATTGTAACACACTTACATAGGTGAGATTTAAACGTGTTTGAAAATTGTTACAGTTTCCAAGGGTGTGAAAAATAGTAACCACACACACAACTCTTGGTCTGGAGGGTACTCACCCTTCGTGTAGTATATGCTGCATAGGACTTCCAAATTATGGAATAAAATTTATGTTTCCCACAATTTTCCTGTTTTATTGACATTGCATCATGTAAATTCTGTATGTGCTATTGGTGTCCAGCTTATTCACATTTACCTGGCAGCTTGTTGCTCATAATTTGGGTTTTGCCCATTTTTTAACTGTATATGGTTTACAGTTCTCTTCTGTATGAATTACTGAACCCCTTATTAATAAAATTTTCTTTCATGTGTTTGGTTGCTTTGCCCAAAATGTTGCTAATTTATGTGGTGTTTAAAGAGCCAAAGAGGGCAACTAATGTAGGCAGGGTTTGATCCCAAGTCCTGGGTAACCAACTAAGCTAGTTGGCAACTTGGCATCCACCAAAAATTTTGGTTATGTGGACTACCGCACTTTGAGGACATGAGTTGAGCAAACTAATTTTTAGTCCTTTATGCATCTCAAATTATGTCCTTATATTCTAGATAAAATGGAATGTTTTGACGCTCTAAGTTAGACCAAGGATATATCAATCTTCCTAATATTAACAAAGCTTTACTTTGAACCTACCTTTGCACCATTTTGATCACTCTTGCTGACTATTCAAATTTTTTTGAGCTTTTCCTCCTTTTTCAGTGATATTTGTACAATGTAGATTTTATGTACATCATCTAGAGTTTGATTCAAACCGCCATCTCACTGTGATGTACTTTCTTCATGTATGAAACACATTAGTTATGCTTGATTCAGACATAGCTTTGTGCAGTGAAACCGCAGGTTGAGTACATTAATTTCTCGTATCCACACCTCCAGGCAGTGATGACTTTCATAGTGTATTAATGAAGAATGAGACATATTTGCTAGTGGAAATGCATCACCTAGGATGTTCATACATGACCTTATGCTTGGCCTTTACCTGATCAATGCAAAAACGTATATGCTGTTGCCTGTCATTGAGCTAAGCTGTTATATACCTGAATCAGTACAAATTTGTAATAGAATAGCACAAATTGAAATTGTGCTTGTAATGTCCTGGAATCAGCGTATTTCTTGCAGCATCTTACCAGTGGCTAATGACTTGTGACAGGAAAAGGATGATACAGTAGAGCCTATTCGGGAGCGGTTGAATTTTACGGACCAGTTATTAAGTTTAAGTTCAGTTGCAAGGCAATTAGCTGATCAAATGACCCTTGCCAAGGCTTATGTGATTATTGCAAAAGAGCATAACAACCTTCAGCTTGCTTGGGAGCTCAGCTCAAGGATCAGAAGTTGCCAGCTTTTGCTTTCAAAAGCTGCTATGAGAGGAGAGGCTATATCACTGGATGAAGCAGAACCAATAATACAAAGCCTGTCGTCTCTGATCTTCAAGTCGCAGGATGCACACTATGACCTAGCTACCACAATAATGACTATGAAATCTCACATTCAAGCACTTGAGGAGCGTGCACATGCAGCAACTGTTCAGAGCACAATTTTCGGGCAGTTGGCAGCTGAATCCTTACCTAAGACTCTCCATTGCTTAAACATCAAGCTGATGGCTGATTGGTTGAAGAAGCCACCTCTACAGTCACTAGCAGAGGAGAACAAGAATTCTCCCCGTCTCGTGGACAACAATCTGTACCATTTCTGCATATTTTCCGATAATTTGCTTGGTGTGTCAGTGGTTGTCAACTCTACCATCTCCAATGCTGACCATCCAAAGCAGCTTGTATTCCACATAGTTACAAATGGTATCACGTATGGTGCTATGCAGACTTGGTTTCTTAGTAATGACTTCAAAGGTGCAACAATAGAGGTTCAGAACATTGAAGAGTTCACTTGGCTGAATTCCTCTTACTCTCCTGTCTTCAAACAGCTGCTTGACCCTGATTCTCAGGCCTACTACTTTGGTGGGTCACAAGATTTCAGAGTTGAACCCAAGTTTCGGAACCCAAAATACCTTTCGCTATTAAACCACCTTCGGTTCTATGTGCCTGACATTTACCCCCAGCTGGAGAAAGTAGTTTTTCTCGATGATGATGTGGTTGTCCAGAAGGATCTGACCCCACTTTTCTCATTGGACTTGCATGGAAATGTGAATGGAGCTGTTGAAACTTGCCTTGAAGTATTTCATCGGTACTATAAATATCTCAATTTTTCCAACTCAATAATTAGCTCGAAATTTGATCCTCAGGCTTGTGGATGGGCATTTGGCATGAATGTTTTCGATTTGATTGCATGGAAAAAAGCAAATGTGACTACTCGTTATCACTACTGGATGGAGCAAAACTATGACCGGTCATTGTGGAAGCTAGGTACTCTCCCTCCTGGACTTCTCAGCTTCTATGGATTAACAGAGCCACTTGATCGAAGATGGCACGTACTTGGATTAGGATATGATCCAAACATTGATAACCGTCTAATAGAGAGTGCAGCTGTTATTCACTACAATGGGAACATGAAGCCGTGGCTAAAATTGGCCATTGGCCGGTATAAACCTTTGTGGGATCGATATGTGAACCAGAGCAGTACATACCTTCAGGAGTGTGTCACAAGTTGAACAGCAAGCATAGTTTTTTTTTTTTTTTTTTTTTTTTTTAATTTTTATCTTTGAAGTTTTGCTGGTAATTTATGCAGTCATGAACGCCGGAGCCTGCGATTCAACCGATTGTAGAGTCAGAAAAGGATTTTTGTCTTCATTTAGGGATCCTTTATTGGTACACTTTAGTTCCTCATATTACATATGCATTCTAATAGAGGAAGTTGGTTTTACAGATATAAGGCCCCACAAATTGTACTGGGAAAACAATGGTGCTGGTTATTCACTTTTGGCTGGTGGATCTTAATTTTTTGGCCTTTGATACAGTTGTAGATTCTTTTTTCATTTTTGTAGCAATGTGTAATAAATTCATAGCAATTTTGGATTCAATTGTACTTTTACTCTAATAGATGGTATTCATGGTAGCTATTTTGTTCTAGAGATGTCAATTTGACAGTTGGTTATGAAGATTACCTAAGCTTTTCATTTTGTTAGTCCCCTCAGTACTGTATTGCGTTTAAATTCTATACATTTCATACCCATTTCCACCAGATGGAAAACTTGCACCACTTGAGTATGGAAGTTGATGGTATCACTAATGAAGGTGGTTTGAAATTTGAAAAATCGCAAGCTTCATTTCAATCACTAAATTAAAATAAAACTGGCATCATCTTGAATACAGAGTACACTGACAAGAACTGAGTTTCAGGTCAAAACTTATTAATGCAAAAAGTATCACTAATTCATGATCAATTGGTTTTTCTTTGTTTGATTTAATTTTTTCAGGTTTAGGTATTACTGCATTAGTGCAATTAATTTTTGTTACATTTTAAGTGTCTTATTACTATAAGATACATTTTATATAATGAGTTCAACTCGAATAAAATCTAAGCTAGATGACATAACACAACTAACCATACTTAATTATACCGTACTAATAAAACATTCGATTTTTTTTTTTTTTTTTTTTGAGGAAAATAAAACATTCGTTTAGCAACTCTAATGATTTGGAATGTTGGATATAGCCTGTGCTTAACTCACATTACAGTAGCTATGAGAGAAAACACAATCGAAAAGCAAAGTTTATGAACCCAGAAACTGCTTATAAAGAAAGAAAAACAAATTACTTAATACTAAATTTATTAGATTCAACTAACTCAGCATTGTTCTTGACAAATTTGTTACAATCAACTAACTCAGCAATGTTTTTGACACAAATCAGACACAACTGATGAAACTCAATCAACAAACACACACTGACCGACTGACACACACTACCATGCATGATTAGAAACCTCAGCAACTGAGTAATCATACTCATTTGAAACACTAAGTAATATCATATCACTAACATACTACCTAGAATTAAAGACTCATTTTAATTTTTAGTCTGACATAAAAGAATTGATACCTAAGAAATGCTTAGTATTGTACTAAAGAATGAATCAAATTCAGCATAGGATCATTTGTTCTTGCGCATGATCGACGACAGTTTTGACAGCTTCTGACGCCAAACAGGCTTGCTTCCTCCTCCCTGAGTCATTCCACGCTGCCTCTCATCCGCATCTGCATCTGGTATAACTCTGCTGCTCTCCCCTGTTTGTATGCCTCGAAATTCCTCATCAGACGGAATAAACGGGTCTTCCAACAGAGCAGATGCTGAAGGTCTTTCATATAATTTAGCCAGACACCTGTTAATGAAGTGCTTAATCTCATCATCTGTCACCTCTTCTAGCGCAGCAGGCATTACACGCCTTTTAATACACGACTGAATCTCAGCGCGATTCCTGCATTCACTGTAAATTTTTTCTCTACTCGTCATCTGAAGTATACACATCCCGAAAGAATATATGTCAGCCACCTCACAATAGTTCAACGTGTAACCCTTTGGTATATTGTACTCTGGTGCCTTGTACTCTGGTGTACCAGCATACGGCGGTTTATCAGCATTCTCTTCAAGCCTTATCGCGACACCAAATTCTCCTAGCTTAATCTCGCCTGTATTCCCATCAATAAAGATGTTTTCGAGGCTAAGATCACGGTGCATAATCGGCGGGTTTTGACTGTGAAGATATTCCAAAGCTAAAAGAATCTGTTTACACCATCTCCTGACTACTTGCTTATTACCAACAAGACCATGTTTCAAACTGTAATCCCTTAAATTCTCTGAATAAAAAGGCTCAGTAATCATATGAAATGTCTTCAGGGAATCATCAGGCCAAAAACGGTATCATTTTATTATATTTTCATGTTGTAACGACTGCAACAATTTAGGCTCATCACAAATATCTTTAAAATTTATATTCTTCTTGATATCTTCTTCTGTTGCAAGTCCTAAGACTATCTTACACCAATTAATTTGTATACCAGTAGCTTGATCAATTCCTCCATAGACTATTTTCTTGGAGTTGGGGTGTGATATGATGTTACGGTACCTTTCGTATCGCCCCGTGGAATCTGTCTCTACAACATCGCGTCGTAGCATTGCTTGTGAACTCGAACCCAACATGGCTATTGGCTACTGATGAAGTAGTGATTAACAGCAGAACAGAACAGAAACAGAGATTTCTGAGGATTTTTGTTGATGAAAGTAGTATTTCTGAAAATGTTGCTATAATAATGAAGAAAATGTAGAGTGCTTGAAAAATGATTTGTAACGGTAGGTTGATATTTATAAGTGTAGGTTGGTTGTTACATGGAATTAAAGATTTATCCAAACGGATTTTTCTTCTTTAGTCTGAGAGTTTGTTAGGACAGTTAGTTAAGTCGGTTATCAAGAAATGAAATTAACCTTTCTTGATTTTTATTTAATAAATTTTCTTTAATTTGTTTGGCTTTTTTGCTGCCTTGACTAATTTGATTTGTAAAGAGAAAGAAGTTGGTTATGTCAGTAATTTAAAACAAAGGAGTATAAATTTTAAAGGAAAAATTGTCAAAAAAAAACCTTTTAAAAGCACCATTTTGCCGAAAAAAAAACTTTTTAAAAGCTTTTTGGTTAAAAAAAACCACCACGTTCTTTTTTTTTTGCGAGAGGAAACCTATTCCTTTAGTCACCCTCTAATTAACTTAATTAAACTCTAATTTTTCTTATTTCTTCTAATTAACCTATAACCCACCAAATTATTAAATAATTAGATTTTTTATATATAAAAAAAATATAATAAAAAAACCACCACCCCTCCCCTTCCTCCTCCCTTTCCCTCTCCCATGGCAGCAACCCCCCTCCCTCATCGGACCCGCTGCCCAGATCCCCCACCCCCGGCGACCTCCTCCACCGCCAAACGACCCTTCCTTTCCCCCTTATCACCGCGGCGACAAGTCGACAACCACCTCCTTGATTTTGAAAAACCCTGGAAAAGGTTTATAATTTTGTGCATCTTGCTTGTAATTGATGCTTGTTTTGGCTTTGATTATGTATGTATGTGATGCTCAGGTGATTTAGAAGCAAATTACAATTGTTTTGGACTTGATTTGAGCATGTTTAAGTAGATTACAACCAAAAAATTGAAGGGTGGTGGTGGTTGTTAACGGAGATAAGGGAAAAAGGGAGGGTCAACCGGCGGTGAAGGTAGGTTGCCGGAGGTGGGGGGGCTGGGCGGTGGGTCCGATGGGTGAGGGGGTTGCTGCCAGGGGAGGGGGAAAGGGAGGAAGAAGGGGAAGGGGAAGGGGTGCTTGGTTGGTTGCAGGGGTGGTGTTTTTTTGATATATAAATTAAATCTAATTATTTAGTAATTGGGTGGGTTAGAGGTTAATTAGAAGAAATGAGAGCAAATTAGAGTCTAATTAAGTTAATTAGAGGGTGATTAAGGAAATAGGTTTCCTCTTGCAAAAAAAGTGACGTGGTGGTTTTTTTAACCAAAAAGCTTTTAAAAGGTTTTTTTTTTTTTTTTTCGCAAAATGGTGCTTTTAAAAAAAAAATTCTGACAAATTTTCCAATTTTAAATGATATATACATAAATATGTTTGAACTCAAATGTGTATAAAAAGTTGTATAAAATTTCAAATGAGACAAATAAAAATGAATGATTGAAGGGATATTCTCAATGGTAACCCCCAACTTTTACTACGTACTAACGGTGACCTCCCTTTTTTTCAATTATACAAAATGACTTAAATTAAAATTTTCATCTCACTCAAAACCTTATTTCATTAAATATATTATTCATTAAATATATTAACTATGGTTAGATTTATATTTAAAAAATAATAATAAAAAAAAATTAACCCAACCACCAACCTTCCTCCTTCCTTTCTCTTTCCTCCATCCTTGCTCCTCTTCCATAATTTCAGGCAGCCCCTCCACCACCATAATCCGGCAACCCCTCCCCTCCTTCCTTTCTCTTTCCTTCCTCCTTCCTCCCTTTCCTTTCCCTTTCCTCTTCTTCTTGCCTTCACCCTCCATTAATACCGACCGAAACACTCCCCCCTAAGTGGATTGCTAAACATCGCCTACAAACTACCAACTAAAGCCCACAAATTTACATTGAATTGACAATATTGCCCTTGACCCAAAAAAAAAAAGAAACACTCTCTCATCACCAAAAAAAAAAAAACGAACCCACTTTCATTGTACGTTTTTTTTAAAAAAAAATTCAAAGTACGGCAATGTCGAGGCCGCAAGGCAAGGAATTAGCGGCGGCGGCGACGGAGGTCTCACGGTGGAAAGGTAGGTTTTTTTTTTCCAAAAAAAAAGAAAAAAATTAAAAATCGTCGTGGTGGTGGCGGCACATGGGGAGGAAGCCACAACGATGGTGGTGGCGCCAGAAGCAGACGCCAGAACCACGGCCATGGCGCCTGGGTTGGACGCCGCCGCCACGGATCTAGCGTCTGGATCTGGCGCCGCCACTACCGGTGTGGCGTCCTCCCTATGTGCCGCCACCACCGGCGTGGCGTGAAACCCATGCGCCCCTTTTTTTTTATTTTTTTTGAAAATCGGATTTTTTTTTTGTTTTTTTAAGTTATTTTTTTTAAAATTAGAGTTTTGTTTTGGTTTTTTTGTTTTTTTAAGTTTTTTTTTTGAAAATCAGATTTTCTTTATTTTGTTTATTTTTTTGAAAATCATTATTTTTTTTAATTTTGTTTTTTTGTTGTTTTCAGTAATTTATTTTGAAATTAAAATTTTGTTTGTGTTTTATGTTTTTTTCAATTTTGTCGTATTTTTTTAACGTTTATACTTCCTTTACATTTCTTTGTATGTTTGTTTTGTACATTTTTTTTTATATTTGTTATTGCAATTTGTTAGTATGTTTTTCTGTTTAGTTGATATATTTTCGTTTAGTTTTTTTTTTTTTTTTTAATTTTGCTTTTATGTTTATATAAATTTTGTATGTGTTGGTATTTTTTTCTTCATTTGTGTATATTTTATTCTGTAATTTATTTTAAGTGTTCTGTTAATTTCTTTTTCAGGTTACTTTGCTAGTATTTTTTTAGTTCATTTGA